CCAAACTGAAACAAATACGTAGAAATAACTGACCTTTTGAAAACACCATAGAATGAGACTGTGGAGGAGCTCAAGTGGATGTTTTTGATATTGTTGTTGAGTAATGATTGATAAATGATTTAATTTCTTAGCATTAACTGTCTTTCTGGACAACATCTAAATCTACAAAATAAACTTAAGGCTGGTTCCTATTTCGTGCTTTCATGTATGAATACAAACTATCAGCAAAATGACAACATATTTTATCACTGATGTCAGTGACTCAGATGTCCAAATTCTGAATTGAAGAAATTCTAAAAATACTAGAGAATTTTTAAAGCATGACATTGAGATCAATCGTTAATCAATAAATTCATCGAAATAGACACGAGCTATGAACCCACTAAAATTCGTCAATAATTAACATAGTCAGGGGTCAACAGAACAAGTTCACCAACTTGAATACATTAAGAAATGAAAACGATCAAATCGACAGAAATAAACGTTTACAGATAACGTTATTCGAACAAACTGATAAGACATTTATAGAAGGATTAAAAATGTTATTATTACTGTTCATTATTTAAACACATAAACATTGCCTTCAGGAGGCACCAGATATATATGCGCCATATTAATTATTTGATTTGCGTGAGGTCTGAAATAATGTATGGGTGCTCGAAACGAAGTATACGGTTTTCTAAGAGGGCCACTCCCCAAACGTTTTACCTAAAAATCCAATCCACAAGGTAGTGAAGCAACGTTACAAGAAGCAGTTCCACGGTAGCCGGTGGCGAACAATAGGTTCATACGTCATTTCTTCCTTCAGGATCCTGGAGTCCATATGAATTAGCGGTTTGGAATCAGAGTTTTCCAAATCCCCTGGGTGAATCATCCATATACACCAAGCCGGTTAAAGCTCCAAAAATTCGATTTTTGTTCTCTCAATTTTGTAACCAGCATTCCCGGAGAAAGAAGGAAGCTATACATGAAATAGGCGCTTATAACGTTGTTCAAACCGATGATAAATGCTTCTCTATCAAGTCATTCAGCTGAGAGAACTCAATATCAACAGTATTAAACATTTTTACGGACATATTTATTTCACTTATTTCAAAAACAATTTGTTTTAGTGAAATAATATATTGTCAGTAACTCTCTCCTTCGCTCCGCAATCAATACTGGCCACATTCAAATGTTTTAAATAGCTTACTTTCACTACCAAAAATTATAATATTCAAGTTGATATAATAAATATTAGTAAGGAGATATATTTCCTTAAATTTTTAATTCAAATTTATAATATTCACTGTATTATGATAAAATCTTGATTGCTTCAAATAGGATTGTTTTATTAATACTTCAAATTTCTATTTTGGAAAAATTTACTTGACATTCTACTTAACAACAAACATATATCCAGATATTAGTCAGGTGATTTGTGAACATTGTTTCATTTTAAAGTTTACATCACTGACTGAATCCAGTTAGATGACCACTAACCACTAGGAAGCACTAAACGTCTGTTTTGTTCAAGTATCGAATTAATCAGCAGTGAGAATCCATAATCTCATCGGTGATCAATCCCTTGAACTTCAGACTCGTAGTGAGTGCTTAATCTATAGACAACGGAGTTGGCACTCATTGAGATGTTGTGAGATTATTTTCGATTCTCTGGCGTAGATAACTGTTTCACATTCGACATGCTTAAACTCCACTTGTTATGGCTTCTCGATAGAACTCCTAGAATTGTATTACCAAGTTAGTCACTGGTGCGCGCATGGTTATTAACTGAATAGGGTTTTGTAGAGATTGTTGAATTTTCAGGGTCTACATTACAGACTGATCTTAGTCAGACATTTTATTGATTAGTAGTGGTTAGATGTAAAGGTGACTACTTAGTTTTAGCTGGAGATCATTAAAACATACATACAAAAATTCGTTTGTTCAAGTGATCATTATAAGGTGTGAACCGATTGTTCTGGAAGGATGTTCATAAACTGTATTCATCAGAAATATTTATAATCCAAAGTGATTTCTTACGAAATCCATGAATACGACTGAAAATAATAATAATCTCAGCCGAAAAAATCACACGTTTATCATTCGTAACTCAAACGTTCAATGTGTGACTTAGACACCATTAGGCTGTTTGTTTAAAGTCAAGCGCGAACACACACAAACATGCACACATGTAGCGTCACACAACGAAACACTGACGTATGGAAGCTGTGAACAGAACATGTCACCTGGTCGCAGCTCGAATTGAGCATCGAGTGATAAGTCATTATCAATGTGCTTAGTCGGCATCTGATCACTGACCAGGTGTTCGGTGTTTTCCAGTTTCAGTAACAGAATATATGTGTCGGATACAGTGTGGTGCGCACTCGTCAGTAGGATGAGAGCAGTCAACGTCGATTATGGACTGTGTGGAGAAGATAAGAACTCGACGACTAAACAAAATCTACACTCTCATATCGCATCCAACCACCAATCTCACACCCATTGCCATCACAATAAACATCACAAACACTACCTACATGAACTCCAGAAACTGAGCCAGCATCAACGACAACATCGACATCAGGATAATTAGATACACTCCATCAGAGTATATGTAACAGCCGGTTATCCATCTGGATCTCGCTGCTCCACATTAACACAGACATTCTCTGCCGCATCCGTCACGGGGATGATATTCGTGGTATCTATTTTCTCCTTCCCCATCCACTGATATCAAATTCGATCGAATGGCCAGACAGCATGTCATGCCAATGACGTTGATTCCTGGTATCTCTCTGCATCCTTCATGTGGCATGCATGCCTCAAGACTTCACCCACGACATCATTGACTGGTTGGATGTTACACACGACTAACGCGTCGGACAATTTGAGAGATGGAATGCAGGCTCCCAGTGACTGACTGACTATGTATGTGAGTGACTGAGTGAGTGATTTAGTCTGTCAGTTGCACACGCGACAGATTTTGCCTGCATATACGATTGGATTGAGTGAGTGAGTGTTGGTTTGTGTGTAAGTGGGCACAGATAGTTTTCAAAAGCCTGCCACAGGTGGGATTCGTACTCAAGACCTTCAAATTATGAGACTAACGCGCTAACCTGTGCTACTATGGCGCGGCGGACTGCGCCCCAGCATCACTTTATACGCACACACACACTGACACACAAACAACATTGTGTTAACTATCGTCAAAATTCAGTCAGTTAGTTATGAGGTCAGCTGATACCCCACACACACGAAAAAATGAAGGTCAAGACAACCCGTGTGGCAGCAGCATTTTCTTCAGTAGGCCTCAACATGCTCAAGGGAAAGAACAAGATCCTCAAATAAAACACGAAGAAAACCAACCCAATCACATTTGATGGAGGAGCTCTGAAAGATTTGAAAGGTTTCGTGTACCTGGTCAGCATCATCGATGAACAAGAAGGATCCGATACATACGTGAAGGCAACGATGGGTAAAGTAGGTGCAAGATTCCTACAGTTGAAGAACATATGGAACCTAGAACAACTGTCAACCAATATCAAAGTTAGAATCTTCAATACAAATGTTAAGACAGTTCTGCTGTACGAAGCTGAAACATTGAGTACTATCACAACTATTATCAAAAGTTACAAGTATTTATCACGAAATTTCTACAAATGATTCCCACTATCTGTTGACCGGATACCATCTGTAACAACCTACTGTCAGATAGGAAAACCCAGCTTCCGTCTGAGATGGAGATTAGGAAAATACGATGGAAGTGGATAGTAGATGCATTGTGGAGATCATCAAACTGCATCATGAGGCAACCGCTAACTTTGAGTCCTAAAGGTAAGTGAATAAGAGGATGGCCAAAGAACACACTACGTCGGGAATTGGAAACAGACGTGAAGAGAATGTCTAGTACCTGGAAAGGATTGTCTAGGACAGAGTTGGATCGAGAATGTTGGTGAGTGGCCTGTTCTTCTCCATAGGAGGTAACAGGCATAAGTAATTAACATATAATGTAGCTGATTAACCAAGTACAGATTTCTATACTCAGACTTTAGTAACACATTTTTAAGAGCAGTAACACTCTCAGTAGTCGAAAACTCTAAACGTAAATAATATACGTCAGGAAGAAAAGAATGTATACTTTAATTTTAAAATTCAATTATAAAGCAAAATAAAGAATGAATGCATCTATATCATTGTGACATACTCTAAGCCCTAACGTATTCAATCATTATTGTTTTCTTCAAATATTAATATCAACGTATTCATAAATTGTTTTCGGCTGATGGTAGTAAAGACGTAGAAGAATATTTATTTCAATATGAAACTTGTTGACTTGAGAGATATACACCAAAATATCGTTATTTTCAAAGAGTATCAAACCCAATACTTATTCTTTCAAATACTAAGTTATCATGACAACCATCGATTAACTAGAAAGTGTACATGTTTAATATTTTTTCCTGTATCCTTTATAAATTTAAAAAGACTTATCAAATCAACGACGTTTATTATCTACTAGTAAATCTTTCTATTAGGTAATGTAAAATAAAATTACTCAATATAAAATCATACTTTTATTTATTAAATTTACCAACCCCTAAAATCTTAGTAGAAGATTATTTGTCCATTGAACATACATATGACTATTCTTATGTTACTAATGATTGGGCAAAAATAATATGAAAATACATATATTGACTATCATTATTATATTTTAATGATTTCATTCATGAATTCATCTTATAAAATAATCTATCTCTATATTCAAAATATATTACAAATGTACATAAATGAATTTTAAGAAATTGATATTTGAATCAAATCGATTATTCGCATAACCCTATTAATTCATATAAAATTCAACTTGTCAACAATCATGACAAATCTTAAATGATTTCTTATAAAGTTTGTTTATTTTATGATATTGTTTGTTTTTATTTTCTCTTTAACAATCAAAATCAACATTTTTATATACACAATTATATAAATGAATCAAATTTCTCATTTCTTTTTTTATTCTGACTTGGTCTTGTGAGTAATGTTTTCCATTTGAATCATGGATTGAGATAAGTGATTTTATGTTTCAATACATTACTAACAACTTGGGATTAGTTTAACAAAAAGTATATCGTGAATATTTGAGTTCAGTTAATCCTTTTTTAATACTTTTTAATACTTCAGTGCTAATCTAAATTTGTTAACATACATTAAATATGACATTGGATCATAGAAGATTACAGATTATTGCCAACTAACGAATGTCAAGAGAAGATTATAATTTTGAATGTACAGTTATGTACGCGTCCAACTGTTGCATTAAAATCCTTACAGCTCAACACAGTTTATGTAGTCGTACTATTGATTTAATTTTACTCAGTTAGCTTAATAAAGTACACAACACACAATCCCGTTACATCATAGATACTGACAAACCGTAAATCTAATCTGAAATCACTTAGAAATGGAAAATTTTTATCAAGTGATAGTAATTATTTGAACAGTTAGAGTGTTTATGCTAATTTGGTCTGATCAACTATTCGTTTAAAATGTAAAGATTCGTGTCAACTGAAATCTGTACACTTGAGTAAACCAACACACCTGAGTACCTATGCATGCAGACAACAACGTTGTGTATTACTAAATAGTGAATTTATTTACTTGTCATGTAGCAGTTAGATTTGTGGAAATGGGACACCTTAGAATCAATTTGTCAGTTTATCTAGTGATCTGGGATAATTCATACTGACACAGTCAAAGAAGATTTGAATCAGAGCTTGGTGCACGACTGACACCGTCACTATTCATAAGTGATAAGATCGACCAGACTAATTGAAAAGTTTCAATATACACTTGGTTCGAGGTCGTCTTCACAATGTTAAATATCAATATATGATTCTGTATTCTTTCCATCACTTTGAAATCTGTAGAGCCTAAATGGTTGATTTCACAGTACGACTCGACGGTGAGTGTGTCTATTTCCATGTATACCCCATTTCATAAACACTCTAGTTAATTTCATATATACTCACTCTACAACAGATTCGTTGATGGTAGGTGATTGAGAGTCGAATTGTCAATCTGAAAGTGACCACACACTTTCGACAAAATTCTGTTCGTGATCAACCAAATTGAAAAGAATATGGAAGGAGAGTTATTGAATAACAAACTACTGAGTTCTTTGAGAAAGACCTTCATTTCAGTGGGGTTGGTCATGATATACACCCGTACTTTAGTGTTTCATTCTAGAAAGTGGGTGTAGAATAAATCTCCAATTCAGACCATCTCAGTGCACATCTATCAGTTTGTGTGATTATCTGGGAGAGGTTGTATTGTTTATCGCAATAGTTTGCTTGTTGAAACGCATATCCAAACATCACCATTCTGTTTGACAGTTTCAAACGTGATTCATGTCTATCTACATTTCGATTCGTGAATGTATGATCAACTGTAATCATGTGCCACCGCATGAATCAACATTCACAAATGTCGGCGAACTGTAAACAATCGAGTCAAAGAATGTTTGGATTAGTGATTTGTGAACGTCCGACACTATCAAGATTCATTGATTCAAACCTGATCTCTGTGTATGAAAAAAGCACATCTGTCCAACCTGTCAGTTTAGCATAATTTCAATAATCAGTTCCAGTTGTTCCATCATTCGTTATCTATTTGTACATTAATCATGTAGAGAATTATATTTTTCATTTAGTTTCTTAATGATTATTTCTTATAATCTTTGAGATTATCATGTAATTTAAACGTAATAACTGTGAGTATATTTGATAATTTGTGAATACTTGATTAAATGTATCCTTATTCATTTATTTTGTTATGGAGTATTATTATATGGAATAATTTGAATAACTATAATTTGTGTAAATAATATTGGTGAAGGATTTATTTTCTGTTCTGATCCGGTTTCATTTATTTTCATCTTATTTTTTTTATAATTAAGTTCAACAAATAAATTAATGAATAATCCGTGATTAACTTCCATTTTTAATTATGCTTAAAAGATTTTGTGCAGCGAAATTTCTTTGTCAAATGAATAGTTTACACTACGTAGATAAGAAGTTTTCGTAATTAATGCCATTAGACTTAACATATCTTAGCTAACCAATCGTTTAATTTATATGGTACGTGAAATACGAAATTGATGAATTCATCAGATTTCACAATAAATTGATACATAGTTTTGCTAATAGATACCTATGTCACCATAGTGAATTGATCCATCTATGAAAGCATTATCATATTTACTTTAGAATAATAAAATAGCTAATTACAAAATTTTTTTCTTGGAATACTTGATTTTAATAAATTTTAATAGGAACTATTTAAATTGTATTGTTTTTGAAAGCGTAGATTAGATTCTATTGGAATTCTGATGAAGAGCTATGCAACTTATTAAGTAACTCAATGAACAGATTGTGTTGACTATCTCTTCGAAACATGTTCTAGAATAACTTATTTCTGGCTAGTACGAACTTCATGAATGAGTTAAGACCATTTCTAACCGAACTACTATAACATCAACAAAATGATGAATTCAAATAAACGTATCTCCATCAAGTACTGTTAAAGATGTTTGATAGATGATATTATTCATTTTAGAAGCATACACTCAAACTCTGATCATACTTAGGCGAGAGCAATAAGATCAGCGAGAGCCTTCATTTAGTATTTAAGGAAAAGTATCATATGATCTGGGTGTTGAGTGTACAGAATTCATCTTTAAATGCTTTTATTTTTTAATATTTACCTGAAGACAGTCGAATAAAAATATCACCAAAAGAAACTTTATAGTTATTTACCTTTAATCGCTTGAGCTTTTATAAACATAATATGCTTTTTTATGACTAATAATAATTTTGGGAAATAAATCTAAAGTCACCTATCGACCTAAACTAAAGTAATTTTATCTAATTGATATATGATTGGCTCACAGCTCAGTGTTTGTATTTCGTTGATTAGGTATACTTTTCATTGCATAACGATATAAATCACAGAATATTTTATAGTTGCAGATTATTGGACAACTGTTTTTTCTTCGTTTCAGGACTCTTAATGATGACTAAACTATTATCGAAATAACATTTCCAGGTTTTGAGGTGAGTGAATAGAACAATAGTTTAGTTTTCCCCAATTGCAGCCGCCTCCTTGGTGATGGCAGCACTTGCACACCGTAATGACCCAGTTAAGCTATATCATCTAGAACACTTGTTCCTAGAGTTCCTACTATTGTACAGGGATCCATTGAAAAAAGACAAGACCAACGTTAGTAATTTCATAGACCGGGAGTAAAATTTTACTCTCAACTCTACAGGGGTGTGAAATCATTAAATTATTTCGCTTAGACAACTAGCATATACAGCGTTCATACCTTCAAACAACCGAAAAAGAGGCTAAAAAATATTTCCTCTAAAAATTCTTTAAATTATCTAGCTCTATAGATTTCCGTAACCGAAGACAAATCATCTGAAACTACTCCATATTCCATATTTTTATTATAACAATCATTAAATTAATATTCATTGGACTATTTCTAAAATACCACCTTGTGAATTTCAACGATTTTAAATAAGTACAGAATAGATTTATAACAAGAAAACAAAATAAACAACAATAATGTGCATACAATAAACTACATAAAGCGATTAAGTAAATATAGAACTTACAGCTGCAGCAATTGCTGTCCCATAACCTGATACTGTACATGCGCATACAATCATAGCGATTAAATGAAAACCTGAACATATTGCAATGCATATAAATTCCTAATAAGAGAAAAAAAGTAATAACTTAATTAAGACTGAGATTAATTTCAAAATTAGAACAAGATATGTAAGCGAGCAACTCTGTGTTCAGTTAGATCTTTATAAGGTTTCAGTCTTACATATAGTAGTATTTAGAAGGATATGTGAGAAAAGATACCTAAATACTGTTAGAGAAAACACGTTGATCGTCCGACTTCTCAAGGATTAGTCTTCTATTAGGAAATTCACTTCTTGAGTTAGGATACCCAGATGATATGGTTCTATTTGGTGAAGACTATGACAAAATACAGATTCATCTGATCATCAGCAGCAACAGTGCTAGCGTGTTTGGAGTGTCAAGGTAGCGACAGTGGTTGTGCAAACTACTTTTGGATGTAAAGGTTTGGTTTGTGAACATGGATTCCAATCGCTTCAGCAATGTGCAAAAGACGAACTTGTAAACCATGCGGAAAATTTGATAGACTCGAGAAAGAAAGAAAAATAGGACAGCAGTTAACGACAGCCGAACAAGAATAGAGAAAGTCGAGGCTCAAGCTGAATGCACAGAAAGAATAACACAAGTGAAGGAGGGTATTGGAGCCGACAAGCATAAATACGTGGAGGAACTAGCAACGACAGTGGAAAAAGGTGCAAGAGAAAGAAACGTTAGGTGACTATATGATACAACGAAGAAACTAGCATGGAAATGTGGTAAACCAGAGAGACCAGTCAAGGATAAAGAAGGCATGATAATCACCGAAATTCAATAACAGAGGAACAGATGAGTGGAACACTTCGAGAATCTCTTGAATAGACCATTGAGTTCACCGACCCTGAAAGCCACACCTACAGGCATTTCTATAGATGTCACTCCACCAAAGGCGGAAGAATTCAGGATGGTCATCAGACAAATGAAGAGCGGGAAAGCAGTAGGACAATACAATATACCACCTGAAGCACTGAAGTCAGACATAGACGTAACTGCAAACATTCCCCAAGTCCTATTCAGGAAGATATGAGAGGAAGAACAAGTGCCGACAAATTGGAAAGATGAATACCTCATCATTATACCAAAGAAATATCTGAGCGAGTGTGTGAACTACAGGGGCAACAAACTATTGTCGGTACCAGGAAAAGTTTTAGACAGAGTGTTGCTGAACCGAACGAAAGATTCGGTAGACGCCCAACTTCGAGATCAAGATGCTGGATTTCTTAAGGATCGGTCGTGTACAGACCAAATCGCGACACTACGGATCATCGTTGAACAGTCAACTGAATGGAACTCTTCACTATACATCAACTTCCTTGGCAATGTGAAAGAACAAGACAGTATGGATAAGTGGCCCTTATGGAATCCTTTTCGACACTATGGTGTATCTGAGAAAATCATCAACATCATACAGAATTCATACGACAGATTACACTGCAAACTGTTACATGGAAGACGGCTGACAAATGTATTCCAAGTGAGGACTGGAGTCAGACAAGGCTAATTACTTTCGCCATTTCTCTTTCTTCCAGTAGTTAACCGGATGAAAACCTCCACATCTCAGAGAAAGCACGGGATGCAATGGACAAGTTGGATGAAACTAGACGATCTGGACTTTCCAGATGACTTATCTCTTCTATCTCACACCCATCAACAAATGCAGGCCAAGACAGCCCGTGTGGCAGAAGCCTAGGCAGCAGCAGGTCTCAACATTCAAAAAGGGAAAAAGCAATAGAAGATCAACACAATCACACTTGATAGAGAAGCTCTGGAGGATGTGGAAAGTTTAACGTGTCTGGACAGCATCATCGATAGATGTGGAGGATCTGATGCAAACATAAAAGCGAGGATCGACAAAGCAAAGATAGCATTTTTACAATTGAAGAACATATGGAACCCAGAACAACTGTCAACCAATATCATAGTAAGAATTTTCAGTACGAATGTCAAGGTAGTCCTACTGTACGGAGCTGAAACGTTGAGAACTACTACAGCCAAGATACCCACTATCCGTTGACCGGATACCATCTGTAACAACCTACTGTCAGATAGGAAAACCCAGCTTCCGTCTGAGATGGAGATTAGGAAAATACGATGGAAGTGGATAGTAGATGCATTGTGGAGATCATCAAACTGCATCATGAGGCAACCGCTAACTTTGAGTCCTAAAGGTAAGTGAATAAGAGGATGGCCAAAGAACACACTACGTCGGGAATTGGAAACAGACGTGAAGAGAATGTCTAGTACCTGGAAAGGATTGTCTAGGACAGAGTTGGATCGAGAATGTTGGTGAGTGGCCTGTTCTTCTCCATAGGAGGTAACAGGCATAAGTAATTAACATATAATGTAGCTGATTAACTAAGTACAGATTTCCATTCTCAGACTTCAGTAACACTTTTTTGAGAGCAGTTACATTAACTGAAAGCCCAGACGGAGGCATGTAAAGTGAGATTAAAATTTTCTACCTTAATAAATCAGATTATATACATCAATTAACTTCGCGTTATCTGGTACGCAACACTCAATGATTTATATCAATACATTGATGAAATTTAATTCCATGAATTCTAAATGCTAATCTGCTTTAATCTAATTAAAACCACAGCATTCAAAGATTATGTCATCATAATAAGCTACTCATTTTCTAATCAAAAGTTACATTGATAACAATTTTTAATTATTGATTCTTAAAATGTCACTCATCATGAAAGTTAAATCTAAATTCCTTTCGTGTTTTTCATCCACCTGCTACCACTCATGTATGACATAATAACAAGGGACTATATCAATTTATTTCTCTCCTGCTTTCCTAGCTATCTTACGAGTAAATGTTTTTTATTCTTGGTTACCTAGGTAACTTAAACTCAACTTATTCGTGACTTTTATCACTATCACAACAGTACACATTAATTTACATAGGACTTTGAATTCATACATATACAAACATATACACACATATTCTTGTAAAGAAAATTGGTGTTTTTCATAGTTTTTTTTCATTTGCATGATTGTGTTATTGCAAACAGTTTGATTATTTTCTATTGTGTAATAAAATAATTCATTTTCTTTTTTAAAACACACGTGACTTGTTCTTACTCTGTTATCTAGTTTTTATGATCACTGGTTACAGACAAATAAACGGACTGGACTTTCATTTGCAATGTTTATTATGGAACAAAAAAGAACTTTTCCTGTATATATTACACTCCTAACAACATTCCATTTAATCTAGAAACTTGTAAAATAATGATTATGCCAAGTCAATCCCAATTTATTTCACTGGATTATACTCCTTTAATAACATGTTCAAACCTTAATCTTTCTGATTATTGCTTATACTTTTATTACCTTTACAACTACGGGATTTGAATCGACAACTGCACCTCTGTGCTAATGTGGTATGGCAACTCGAACTGATTTACGTACGTACGATTTTCTACGTTGTTACTGACTGACTGACTGAGTCAATCCACGCAGACTACACATATGTCAACAAAAATAGTTCAGAATTCCAACAAGAATATCAACAAGGGAAAAATTCAACCTTCAATTATAACGATCTGAATATCCTACCCATTGAACAATTTAGTGACTATTTGGACTCACTGACTCAGTGGATAGTATGTTGAGCGTATGAAACAAAATTTACTGCGCTCAAGTCCCAAAGTAAACATCAACAATGGAATGTCACAGATATATTCAGCTAACAAGTCCAAATTAGTAGGTAACGAATGTCCGGGATTACACTGTTAGTCATAATTCATCTACTTTAAATACATACTTGAGGTTTTCTTTTTGCTTCCAGAAATTTTAAATCTTGTCAATGAGTCGCATATGTATACTACAGAAAACATTTTCAATAATTAATTACATGATTTAAAGATGGGGATCTTCTTAATTCAACCATGAGATAATGTCAGATAATATGAGAGATGTACAACAAGTTAAACTAATCAGTTGTACTCGTAGTACTTCTGTTTGTGTTGCTTTTATTGATCAAAACATTTTATTATTTCTTTAATTTTTATGAATTACTGCGACTAAACTTTAATTTGAAAAACATATTTTTAACCGATAGTGATAATCATGGAAAGTTGTATTCCGATACCTATATGTCTATTAGTAAACAGTTATGATTTAAAACAATAGTTGGACGCTATAGTTATCAACAAAAATTGAAATTTATTTCATTTTTAACGATACCATCATGTAAATTGTTGAAATAAATAAAATTTATTTTAGATAGGTGGGAAGAGATTTAATTGTGTGCTAATAGAAGTTTGTTTCGGGCTATGAACAGTAATTGCTTAAATAATAATAATAATAATAATAATAATAATAATAATAATAATAATAATAATAATAATAATAATAATAATAGAAATCTGTCTTGAAAAGTGACAGTAGTCCAGCAAAATAAATTCGTCAACGAAATCAATTTTTCATTTGATTTTCAATTATTTTAAAATCATATCTACCAAAGGCTTGTTTTATGTATTATTGACTTCCATATCTGTTTTTTATACAAGAGACATTATTCAACCTCATGCACATTAACCATATAAATCTAAAGAATATCTGAATTACTGATCATTCAATTTTACGTGGTTCATTTGTTTATTCAATAACTAACCTGAATTTTAATAACCTGATTGTGATTCGACCTTCACAGTTTCGCTAATATCAAGGCAGTTGAAGAAAATCAGACATGGTTTTTGTTTCTGGTCACTAAACTCCAGCTAATTATCGACCAATTTAATTCTATCAGTAAAGAGTTTTGTAGATTGTCAAGTTTCAATTGATATCATGAATGGATGAATGTTAGATCACCATTGAGAACCTGAAGAAAATAATGGACGGTCGCGCAATATCGTGGACTGGTTAAAGTTATACATTAACACCGTTGGATGCCGGCTCACTAGTACCGTGCTGGGACGAAACTGCCGTTCAGTGCTTCCAGGTTATTAATAATCGTCTAACATTCATCCATTCACGATATAAAATTGAAACTCAATTTAAAGTTCATAAAACTTTGAAAAATATGGATTATCATAAAGTTTATCCTTAAAAAATACAACACAGTGACAACTATAAATAAAAGTTTTCTGCCAGTTAATTAATCGCATTTAATGAATGTAAGTCTTGTTTTAAACTATACATGCGATCCGCACGTAATCACTTGGCAATCAGTGTCCGTGGGTATGGTATGTGCTTCGTTTCTTTTAAGTACAAAGCACTCTAACAAGACTGGCAGGACCCTGATCCTGTATTCACCATGGATGGTGAGCAGATAGAAGTAGTCGAGAAGTTCGTGTATCTAGGTAGCTGCATAAGTGCTGGTGATGGCGTCAGTGGTGAGATCAATGCACGTATAGTGAAAGCCAGAGAGGCTTATGCCAATCTGGGCCATCTTTGGCGCCTTCTTCATGTTAGACTGGCTGTAAAAGGTTGGACCTACAATGCGTTGGTGAGAGCAGTTCTGCTCTATGCTTGTGAAACACGCCTCTCCGAGTTGAGGATGTTAGACGACTCCCTGTGTTCGATCATCGTTGTCTCCGAAGGATTGCTGACATCCAATGGCAACACCATGTTAGTAATGCAGAGGTTCGCCATCATGTGTTCAGGTGCAGAGACGATAATGCAATTGATGTCACTATCTCGAAACACCGACTTCGATAGCTTCGACATGTTCTACGAATGTCGTCCCAGAGAATTCCACGTCGTGCATTATTCGCCGACTCTGAGACCGGTTGAAAAAAGCGGAGAGGCGGTCAATGTATGACATGGTGTCGTGATATGAAGGGAACCTGCAAAGGGCTGGCTTCTGTTGGTCTTTCACGACTAACTGGTTGGGGTCAGGGAAATGGTGCAACACAGTGGCTAGAAACGTTGTCAGATAAGGCTCAGAATAGAAGCCAGTGGCGATCCTGCTGTAACCCTTTACTTTTTTCATAAAAAGTGGTTGTTTCTTCTTTAACTGAAAGATTTCTCTTCCCATTCTCATTGTTTTGTGTGACGCATATATATCTGGTGCTCCCTTGCACCAATATTTATGTGTTCAAATAAATATATAAATAAATTTAAACTATACAATAAGAAATCGTAATCTACAATTCCAATTTTTAACTTGGTAGATATAGTTTTATTATTACTTAATGTCTTATCTATATTTGATGTATGGTAATTAATAAGATATGTATTATTGAGTATTTAACTTTTAACTATCTATACTCATAAAATAAATGTCATTAATGCGCAAATCATAGAATTGTACCATAACGTTTTTATTTGTTTATTTACTTCTTTTTATCGATCAATTATCAGCTGATTAAACAGAGTAGATCACTTGACAAAATACTCTTGAAAGTCTAAATTAACTAGTTTCAATATTTTATTAAGTTTTAAAAAGTTAATTCATTAAAAAAAAAGAAATATGTAAATGAATAAAGAATATAAAGAAATAAATTTTATAAAAGATGAATTTCATATTTATTTATTTTATAAATGATAATATATAAATTGATCTTTTAGTTGACATGTATTGTGTACACTGAACAGATGCAAATGTAACCTACTGTGGAAGTGAACAAAACTAACTTCCAGTTGAAGAGGAAATTACGAAAAGACGATGGAAATAGATAGGACATATATTATAAAAATCATCAGATTGCATCCCGAGTCGATAGCTCACTAAGAATCTTGAAGAGAAACGAAAAAGTGGAAGATCAAAGAACATAGTGCACCGAGAATTGAAGGTAGACATGAAAAGGATGAATAGTAACTGGAAAGGATTGCCCAGGACAGGCTTTGATGGAAAGTGCTAGTGAGCGGCCTATGCTCCTTCATGAGGGGTAACAGGTGTAAGTAAGCAAGTACATATAAACGGTTCATTAGTTGGTCATTGTATTCATATGTGGTATATGTTTTAGAATACGCTTTGAAACATTCATATCATTGGTCCATACAGTTAACTAGTTCACAAAGTTTAAAAGTGACAGCATCTATACTCAGATTATAGACAAATGAAACAAAGCATTATAGTGATTCTTACTAAAATTAATAATTAGTTTACAAGCTAAACTATTATCTTACATGTATTCTTGCTTGTTACCTTAAAATTAAGGAATAGATAGTTTTATTCTGTGAATACTCTTATCAAGCCAAATAAATGAATATTTGTAAGGTCTTATTATCAGTTTTCATAGAAACTTTTTGCTTGTGGACCAATAGGAAGTGAATAAGTGGATAGTTAACACTGACATATTTTCATACTACTTTTAAAGGTATGACTGAAATTCAGTAGATTACATCTCAAAAACATATTCTGTTCTATACATAGTTTGATTTTAAAAATACCCTAAAATGTATGATACATCAATTATTCAATCCAATCTTTTGATTGATTTCATTATAAATGTTCAACATTTGGATTTAACAGGAAATTTATGAAACCTACTTACACAAAATAATGTAAAGTAATTTTTATGGAAACTTCGTCGGTAATTTATATCGTAATATAATGTTATTATCAGTATAGGATTATGATGACTGTTGAACTTGATTGAAATCACATACTAATATGTTAGAAAGCCTTTGAAAATATAGAAGCACTGGATGTGCTTACAATGAAATTCAACAATCTTCACAATCACATACAAACAATAGTGATGTGCTCACTAGTGCCTAACATCGAGGTTGAATTTCAGGAGTATCAGTGAAAAGATCTCATCAGTTGAGCTACACGGTGTCGGATGTGAAAGAGGTACCCACTGCATGCACTTGAAGATTGTCAGACATCGTAGTGGATTGATTGATGTTAATCTCGTATATCACTGGACAGCGACTCAGTGATTAAGAGATTTGGGCATTCGTGTGGGAGACCACAGAACCTAAGCTCAGTTCCGGGTTGCAGCGCAATTGATGTGCACTGTTAAAGATTCTTATACAAGAAAGAAACGACCGTTTAGTATCTTTAGGTTTCCAATGTTGTCTCACTTAGGTCGGTTCGTGATTTAAATAGTTAGTTTGGTTGAAAAATCAGTAAAAGTCGAGAAGCATTGAATGGTAGTTCTTTATTTGATTTTTCAGCAGTAATCACCACAAACCGTATGACTTAAATATCTCCCATGTAAATCAACTCAGGATCGTCGTCTAACACATTGTTAAATAACCTCGAAATAATATAAAATAGCTAAGTAGTTCTTCTTAGGTTTCCGTGACTCTAAAGGGGATACAATTTTATCATGAAAATATTTGCACAAGTTATTTTTGATATCATAAATATGACATCAAAGATGAATATAAACGAGTAAAGAGAAAAATGCAGATAGACAAGTCATAGTTGATAATTGTTTCTTATAGGTTACCTTAATTATTCACTTGAATAGGGAAGCACATTCTTTAACAACACTAGTTTGGCATGCGAAATTGAGTAAACGGTATTATCAAGTGCAAAAACTACAGCCAGCATCTAGATCATAAGAATTCAAATAATTAACTAATCTCACCATTCTAAACCAAGCCCAGAAAACGCGTTTCTTGCTAGTATAAAACTTTACGGCAGTACGTACCATTGGTCTAACGTATGTATACTTAACCTTCAGACCACCTATACGACATACAACATTTCAAATGATTAGCTTTAATTTCTAATGGCGCAAAATCATCTTCTAAAACACTTGGTGAGTAACTGCCTCAAATTTGACATGGTTGAAGTGCACTAGTAGTGAAATCTCAAAAAAATTCCAGAAATTGCAGTCTAAAGATAGTTATTGGTACTAGTTGTCTCCACAAGCATATCGTAGGAATGCGTACATTTTGTACGTCAAACATCATTTATTTAGCTATAGTTGGACTTCTAAACATTTCAATACCTTCACATGAATATTAAAAATCATTAATGTTCAAGCCTAATAATAGTAGTTACTATTAACAGATCGATCAATTAAAAAGTCACCGATTTGTCCATTAGTTTATTCTGTAAACACGCACAGTGGGCATAATCCCGACATTCGCTTATTCACATACCTAATACTCTTAAAAATACTTATTCTGTTATTTCAATGAATATTCCTAACTAGTTTCTATTTTGCTTGATAGAAAACAAAATATGACTAATTAATACACTTATTTATAAAACTAAAAGTAGGATATTATCTTAAAGAGGCTGATTATTTAAAAATTCACTTTAAAAGTACACTTTATCACGCAAGTGCGAGTTACTAAGAAGAACAAACGAAAAATAATTATTTAAATTCCATTGCAGAAATTTAAACCAGTTTGAAATGGATAGAATCAATGTGAGAAATTCACAGTTAAATAAAACTATTCAAAGATAAAACGCTTGTTATAATCAAAAACTGTATCATATCTGTCAATTTCAGCAAATATATTTTTGCTGTTTAAAGTGGAAAGAAGATAAGAAAAAACTACAACCAAAATCTGAGAGAAATGTATGGGCACACAATCAAAATAGACCGTTTGGGTATTATGAAATAGCTAAATATTAAGGAGTTAATGATGTTCTCTACAAAACCGGATGATGTGGATATCAGCCTCACACTCAGCATCAATTCCTTCAATCACCAGAAGTGTGCCTAAAATAAATCCAGACTCAAGGTTTTCTAATGACCTTTATAAATCTAAAATTCAAAGGTGATGATGCCGCACACATAGTCAACAGAACTGAATACTGCGCTAGCCAGAACTTATCCGGCGGCTCAACTTTTACAACTATCAGTCAGTTAGTCAGTCAGTAGCAACGTGGACCTTCGTACGTACATACGTCAGTTCGAAATGCCATACCACATTAGCACAGAGATGCAGTTGCCGATTCAAATCCCGTAGTGGTAGAGCTAGTGAAAGTATAGGTAGTGATAGGGAACATTAGGGTTTGATGGTGTTATTCACGGAGTATAATCTAGTGGAATAAATTTGGAAAGAAAATAAAGGACATGAAGAATTCAGAAGATTAGAGTTTGAGAGAACACAGAGAGTGGATGCACCTGCGCCATTGCAAACGATTTTGAGCCATATCATTCAAGATCTCTAACCATCAAATGCTATTATCTCGCGGTCCCCAACCAGGTAGTCTACACCTACCAACATGACTCAGTCCACTTGTCAGTGACTTCATGGATTTCTGCCATGTTTTGGTCTGGCCGCCCCTAGCTTTCTTCCAACCTACTCCTACACCATAAAACATCGCACATCGGGGCAATCGGTGGTCGGGCATACGTAAAACATGTCCCAGCCATCTTATCTGATCAAGTTTCACTACTTCATCAATTGTTTTGCCATCTTTACCTATTACCTGTTTCCTAACAACTGCATCATGATAACCCTCAGCAATAAGTTCCAGGTTTTTCATAATCTACTCAATGCAGAAAGAACTACTATGGAGAGCAACTGGAAAGAGATAAAAGAGGCAATCACTTCAACATGTCATGAGGTTCTGGGCCACAAGAAGCACCATCACAAGGATTGGGTCACGGTCGATACACTGGATAAGATTCAAGAAAGGAGGAACAAGAAGGCAGCAATCAATACCAGTCGAATAAGAGCAGAAAAAGTCAAGGCACAGGCTGAATACACAGAAGTAAACAAGCAAGTGAAAAGGAGCATCAGGACCGACAAACGTAAATATGTGGAAGATTTAGCAATGATGGCGGAAAAGGCTGCTGGAGAAGGAAACATAAGACAACTGTATGACACAACAAAGAAACTCTCTGGAAATCACCCTAAACCAGAACGACCAGTGAAAAGCAAGGAAAGCAAGATAATCACCAACATTGAAGAACAACGAAACAGGTGGGTAGAACACTTCGAAGAACTCTTGAATCGACCAGCCCCACTTAACCCACCCAACTTCGGAGCAGCACTCACGGACCTCCCAATCGATGTTGGCCCACCAACATTTGAACAGAATAGCATGGCTATCAGACAAATCAAGAGTGGCAAAGCAGCAGGACTAGACAGCATTCCAGCAGAGGTACTGAAAGCAGACGTAGCGGCAACTGCAAGGATACTCCAAACTCTCTTCAGAAAGATCTGGGATGAGGAACAGGTACCAAAAGACTGGAAAGAAGGACTTCTGATCAAAATACCAAAAACGGCGATCTCAGCAACTGTGATAACTACACGGGAATCACTCTTCTCTCAATACCAGAAAAAGTCTTCAACAGGGTATTGTTAAACAGGATGAAGGACTCCGTAGACGCACAACTTCGCGACTAACAGGCAGGATTCCGTAAGGATAGATCGTGCACAGATCAAATCGCAACTCTACGGATCATTGTGGAACAATCAATTGAATGGAATTCGTCACTATATATCAACTTCATTGACTACGAAAAAGCACTTGATAGCGTGGACAGAACAACCCTATGGAAGCTTCTTTGACACTACGACGTGACTCAGAAGATAGTCAATATCATACGGAATTCCTGCGATGGATCAAATTGCAAAATCGTTCATGCAGGACAGTTGAAAAAGTCGTTCGAAGTAAAGACCGGTGTCAGGCAAGGTTGCTTACTCCCACACTTTCTCTTTCTCCTGGTGATCGACTGGGTCATGAAGACGTCAACATCTGAAGAGAAGCACGGGATACAGTGAACATCTAGGATGCAGTTGGATGATCTAGACTTCGCAGATGATCTGGTTCTTCTATCGCATACGCAACAACAAATGCAAAGAAGACAACCAGTGTAGCAGCAGCCTCAGCAGCAGTAGGTCTCAATATACACAAACGGAAAAGCAAGATTCTCTGGTACAACACAGCATGCACCAATCTAATCACAATTGACGGAGAAGCTTTGGAAGATGTAAAAACCTTTACATATTTGAGCAGTATCATCAATGAACACAATGGATTTGATACAGATGTGAAGGCACGGATCGGCAGAGCAAGAGCAGAATATTTACAATTGAAGAACATCTGGAACTCAAAACAATTGACAACCAACATCAAAATCAGAATTTTCAATACAAATGTCAAGACAGTTCTACTGTATCCAAAAGATACAGGTGTTTATTAACAGTTGTCTACGCAAAATACATCAGATCCGTTGACCAGACACTATCAGCAACAACCTTCTATGGGAGAGAACAAACCAGATTCCAATGGAGGAAGAAATCAGGAAGAAGCGCTGGAAGTGAATAGGACACACATTGAAGTATGCATCCAAATGCGTCACAAGACAAGCCCCCACATGGAATCCTAAAGGCCGAAGGAGGAGAAGAAGACCAAAGAACACATTACGCCGAGAAATGGATAGACATGAGAAAAATGAACAGAATTGGATGGAACTAGAAAAGAAGGCCCAAGACAGAGTGGGTTGGAGAATGCTGGTCGGTGGCCTATGCTCCATTGAGAGTAACAGGCGTAAGTAAGTAATTCAGTCTAATAGTTTTATTTACACTCTTGCTATCTATACGAATGTCTTCAATATAACTTCCAACCAAACTTATTCATGTAAGTAATTTAAACCCATTATAAATTCATGTTAGTCTAATTTTTAGTGGAAAAAAACTATAAGATCAAAATTGTCTGTTGTACAATGAGCCATGAAAACGCAAACGATAACAACACGGAAAAAACTTGGGTTTACACAGCTTAAAGCAATCACCGAAAATGTCTTCTGTTGCTGTCTTCCGTTTTTATAACAATGAAACTGTTATTCAACGTTAGCACTCTGCAAATAACACTAAAAATGTCGTGTTTTGACTTAAAAGCAATTCTTTACATTACAAATTAAAGGGATGCGCAACACAGGACTAAATAATCATATCCGAATACTTGCCTGCCATTAGCTTTCTACTCAAGAACAACTTTACGTACATTTCAAAATAAACGAAGTTAAAATAGAACTACATTTGCTTTTTGCCTTAGATGAGAACCTGTTAAACAACTATGGATTCACCAAAATCATTTCACATTCCACATAAATTCCGACTCGTACGTTATAAAAACCTATAAAAAAGAAGCATATACAAAGTAGCGATTTGTTGATGCCTGAGCTGCGATGATGAAGAAGGTTCTGTACTTGTTCTTTTTACTCAGTGTAGTTGATTTCGTGGAAATACCGCTTAAAAATTACACATTGATTGTACTAAAACCTAACTGCTTATACTGTTTGCCATTTAACTCACCAGCATTCTGACAACTGTTTAAAAATAAAATCTTCGAACTGTACAACACTTATTATCACGCGGATTCGAGTTTTTACAAAACAAAATGATATGAAAGCAAGTGGAAGATATGAAGACAACACATATTTTACATTTCAAATACGTTTCGGATTTGTCAGCATTTGGAATAAGAATGAACGGATATTTTGTATCTGTTTATTGATACCAAATACATATTATTTGTTTAAATTAGAAGGGTTTTATCTACGATCAATATGGTATAATACTCTACCAAGATGTACAAGCTGGTTATATGAAAAGCGCACTTGAACGCTAAGACTGTCAGACAATTACCAAAAAAGGATAAATTAGGCTCTAAGAAACTCGAGTAAAATATAGGCGAAGAAAATACACTGTCAGACAAGATATCATACGTTTAATATATGTAGTGTTCACATCGAATGGAATTAAATATTTCGTACGTTTGCTAGTATCTCACATAAAAAAAAACTCTTTATCCCTATCGATGAGTAAAATGATGAAAAAACCACACAAAAATATATCACCGTTCTTACGTCTTATATACAAAATCTACAGTCAATATCTAGGTAAATTTTCGAAAAATTACACAGAAAGCGTTATAAACAAAATAGAAACTTACAATTAATGTCATGGGCCCTGAAAACCTGTAAATTGCATTTGTAAGGTGAATACAATAGAAAAACAATGAGATAAATGTAGTCAAGATTGCAACGAAAAACAACCATCCTCCAGGGCCAGGAATAACGTAATTGGGTGACACAGCAACAAGAATGATGAGTATGATATTGAGAATAATCTCAACGATTTTGAAAACTGCTGGTATTGTACTCGCGTAAGCTGTGTTAAGCGACATCCTAAATTAGAATTTGAAAAACTGCGTATTTTTCCTCGTAAATCAAAACAGTGTGGTGAGTTATAACAAATAAATCTTTAATCACATTTTGCAATCAATTTTGATTCGAATCTTATTTAGCTGGATATAACAAGAAGGAAGAAAATTTTTAACCTTAATTTAAAGAAGCTAGCTGCAAAGTCACTTATTTTTGACATCTGCCTATTGTTTCTTCAAGTTGTTCTTGATCACTGGCCACATATAATATGCAATGAATTAGTAAGAAAAGATTGATTTCCATTAACTTCACACACTGTTACAGGTAATATGAACAATGAATGTGTCACCTCATAATGACAGAAAGTAATATTATTAACACTTAACTACAGAGGCGATGTGTACTAGAAAAAGTTTCGGTTTTTAACTGAAAAGACTTAGATATCATTTTCGCTTAATTTTTGTCGAGTCCTTTGAGTACCTCTGAAGGCTTTGTCGTTATCCGGAAAAGCAGTATGGTCGGTTTACTAGATAAGACATTTCTCAATTTTCAAATTATCACAAACTCAGGCGTTTTGTTTATTTTTTCTGTTGATAAAGTAAGAATTTGCCATATGTTTGAGTTTGTTCATGTACGTTTCAAGGTTCCTCAATATAATGATCTAATGTACAACAATATACATATTTGTGCGATAATTATTTAAGTTTTGATAGTACTACCACATTGTGATCAAGCTACAACACCTCCAGATCTTCTAATAAACTTTGAAAACCATTGAAATGTTGGTTACTTATATTCACACAATTAGTATATAACGGTGGTCAGGCATAGAATGTACTTCAGTAGATCGATGAAGAAAGAACAGGAACAATGAGCATTTGGTATGAAAACTCATGAACAATAGTCTGAGACAATGGATTGATGTTTGCAACAGGAACAGACACGTATGATAAGATGGATTGATATTTCACAAATTGACGATTTACTATATGGTTCTCAGATTTAAGTGAGATGCCCTGTAATTTTCTACTCAAATACATTCGATTGTCCCCAATCGTGTTCTGTTCATTATATTTGGTGACGATGACAACCACGAGAGGAAGGGTGCTGTGCTGTGGACGCCGTTACGGGCCTGTAGCTGAGGCGTTGGTGAGGGCGGTCTAGTGCGGAACTATTATGATAATTATAGTACTAACTAAAAATCCCAGAAATAACGCAATTGAATCAAGAAGTATTACACAAGTACTAACAAATATACTGTATTTGAAATCCGAAATCAAGCATTCAAAAGTACAAAGGAATCATTAGTTTATTCAAACACCACATCCGCCACAGCTTTAATTTGAGTTTAAGTGTCTAGTTGATTGTACGTCTTCTTCTTAAGTTCATCCTGTGTCTGACCGACAGTGTATTGGATAAAAACTCTGTATTATCTAGAATGCACTCATCAGTATTAGAATTAACAACCGAAGTCGGAACAGACTCACTTGCTTGCTGGGATTGTGTACAACCATCATGTCGGTTGAGTACTGAGACGACTGCTACCTAGAAATTAAACCATAGACATTCACACTATCCTCCCTCAAGAAATAATGTCGGATCTTCGTATCCCCAAGTTATGAATAATGTGGCTTCATTTAAAACATCTTTCTCAATTTGACTAGAGTAAACATTGGAAGTGAATTTATGATAAGGACAAACAACAGTTAATATGGAATTATCTGTATTGTAATCAAACTCTAACTCATTTAATACTCGTGCTTCGCATCGAACAAGTTTCTCACAAGAAACAAATGCATCATGAGGACAAATAATATTTGATATAACATCAAGATTTGATTCTTCTGAAATAGTTTCCTCAAATTTATTAAGAATGTCATTGCAGAGTAAAGGATCATTAGAAAAATCAGCGTCAATTAAAACTACATCAGTTTTTCGATCATGATTAGGTTCATCCGAAATATTTTCATCAGATTTGTAAGAAATTTCATCAGAAATATGTGAATCATCAGGAAAAATCATATCTGGTACAATAACATGAGAAATCTGATATGTTGATGAATTAGAAATTGTTTTCTCGCAAGGATTCTGAGTTTAATTTAACTCTGAACTGCTATATGACTCTAAATTGTCTTTTGAAATCGTTGATAAAGATAAATGATTATTATAAATACTCAACTTATTAGGATCAGAATTACAAACTGAGTGAATATTTCCAACAACATCACATTTAAAGCACTTAGAATTACGAAATTTACATGAATTAAAAGAGTGGAACCTGCTACAGGACAACCATTGACCAAACGTGTGCCCATTTTCTTGAACTGCATCACAGCTCCTCAGTGAATTATCTTTATAACCTTGAGTATGCGCTGGGTTGAGATGACGTTATGTAGTGGAATTTTTTATATCATCATGAATCATTTTACGAAATCTTCCTCCTTTCCGCATTTAAAATTTGTGTACCTAACATAGTCTAACATTAATTCCTTGGGAGCTGCATAAGGAAGTGAAATAGGCTTTTCCGCTAAAGCCGAAATTTTTAATAAGCTATATGCTTCTTTCCCGATGAATGTGAGGAAATGTGCCTAAATTTCGAGTCATTCAAAGTAATCCTCATAAGCATCAAAATCTGAATGTATATCCAACCATTATATCACAGGCTCAATCGCGATGCCAATATGATGATAAGAAGTAATTGAATTATAGTACTAACTAATAATCCCAGAAATAACGCAATTCAATCAAGAAGTATTACACAAGCACTAACGAATGTACTGTATTTGAAATTCGAAATCAAACATTCAACAAGTACAAAGGAATCATTAGTTCATTCAAACACCACAACTATATAGTTTTAGCATAGATGACTACTGTAAAGTTATTCCACTATTTAAAATTCTTCTGATGGCATTTATTATCTCTGCTTCTGCTGACCCTTCTCATCCCAAGTGTGATAGTTAAGGATGCTGAAACGTAGCTAACACATGTACAGTTTACAAGAATTTATAGGTAGTGCTCACACTGATGTGTCCATATGCATATGATCTCATCAAAGTAAGTGTAGGTAAAACACATATATAACAGCTCACATTGGAAGTTTAGGACAAATCTAGACATATAAGAGATTATATGATTCTTTATAGATATTAAGAATGCTTTCATAAAGAAATGTCTTTAAACTGACAAATAAAAACAAATAATTTAAAAAATAACCGAAATAGTTATTCCTTGTAGAAATCGCTTAACTTATTTTCTTTATCTAGCCCCTGCTCAGATACAAATGCCAGTTTTAACCGTTAGTTATCCATCTATTCAATACACTACTTTTAGCCATTAAGTCAGCAGCATCTATTCTTTTACTTCTAATATTATCAAATATATACAAACTCCTGCTTGTGCCTTAAGTACTGCTATTACAGTTTTGATGAGTGAGTCAGAGTTATTTCATATAATACCTAATGTTTCAGAGGCTAACATAACAACTGAGCTATGCGGAGAACAGTCTTATATAAAATAGCGGTAGTAATACGTGGAAAGGAATTTCGAAGTAAAAATTTCTCTTATTCTGATAGATGGGGACCAATAATTTTAGAATGATGCTCTGAAGTGTTAGTATGAACTAATTATTCTTTTGTATTTAATGTGTGCCTGATTTTGAATTCTAAACATAATACATTCTTCTGTACCCGAATAGTTCTATTTGGTTCAAATTGTGCTAATTCTCGGATTCCTAGCTCGTGTATTAATTCAGTTACTTATTATCACATGGTTGTCGCTATGGATTCTGTTAAGGAACACCTGGACAAACATTCAAATTTTGACGATTTTTAGGATTACATGAAAATGTCTGAAATCTGGACTATGATCAAGAAAGATGTTGACAATGTCAATATTGTGGCTCGTTTCCCTATATTCATCAGAAAAATAGCCTACGGCTTAATAAATACTTTGGCATTTCCTGAAAAGTTCATAAAATAATCCGTCAGGATATCAGTAATTCCACTGCGTTACTACGTCATCCAAATCGAGTGCATACGCAAATTAAGCAGATAACACTTCACTGAGGAAACTTTTCACGAAGATGAGCACAAGTATGGTTAATGTTTTTCCAGTAGCAAGTGCCACACATGTTATCGGCGTGCATTTCGTAATACTAAATTTTTCAAATGTATAAAATTTAACACATTCAGTCAGTTCATAACAATACTGTAACAACTTGGGCTGATTATTTAAAAGTTGAACTCAAATATACGAGAATATATCAAAACAATAGAGCTCAAGTATTCATTCACTTCCTTACTTCTTATAGACATCATATTTTTTGTTACCTTATATCAGATGTTGAAAACCTTTGTGTGTTTGAACAGGTAACCTCAGGCTCCACTGTGACTTTCCCACGAGCTAAGTAAAGACCTATTCACCACTAGTCTGGTTTCTTCTATCAGTAGTACGATAGTTTCCTACCGGTACGAAAATACTATTCATTTTGAAGCAAGTAAATCTAAACCTTGTAATTTCAATTCTATTAAACTGAATGTATAAAGTAAATCAGATTCTGATCAGATTCGTGATATTATTTTACCAGATATGCTTTGTTCTCATGATTCATGTATTTCTAATGAAATTATCTACAAATACGCCGAAGATATGACGAGTTCATCGAATGATGTCATTTTATCAGATGTGATTCGTTCTAATGACTCACTTGATCTTAGTAAAATATATTGGTTTAATATGAGGAATAGGTTCTTAGTAAGCTGAAATCTGTTAACAGTCCTTAAGGTGTCGCATTAGATGATATTTGTTCTCACAATGGACATACCTCTAGTGATATTACTAATGAATTTAACAAATATGGTTTGAATGAGTTGAATTTCAATCACATTTCTTATGTTATTGTATCCGCTGTTGGATAATTCCACAACCAATGTATGACGAATAGAATTCCTAGTCAGTGATATGATCAATCGAAGGAAATCGCAAGTTTCCCCGAAGTAATCAGCGGACCAGTTTATTCAGATATGATGTTCACGCAGGCAGAAAAT